ACCAAAAGATGGAGAGAAAATATCTTATTATGACGTCACCTCCTTGTACCCATTTATCAATGTATCTACAAAATATCCAGTGGGGCACCCAAAGGTCCATATTCTCAACGAAGATGTTCATTGGAGCAAGCCGGAGGATAACAATTTTGGATTGGCTATTCTGAAAGTCTTTGTTATCCCTCCGAGGAGCATTGATATTCCTGTGCTCCCAATGAAAGTAGGAGAAGATGATGAGAGGTTGCTCTTTCCTCTCTGCTCCCAATGTGCTAGGGAGCACCCTGAAGGAGGAGTAAATGAAAATTACTCCTGCCCGCACTCAGACCTGCAACGTGGATGGGTGAGTACATGCACATCGCTTGAATTAAACGCGGCTCTAGAGGAAGGCTACATCGTCACCAAGGTGTTCAGAGTTTTACAATATGACAGCTCCGACGACAAATTGTTTGCTCCATACATTAGTGAATTTATGGCAACAAAAATTCACTCTTCGGGATTTGATAGCTCTATGAAGGGGAATTATGAGGAGGAGGAGAGGTTCATCAATGAGTGCAAAGAGAAGTTTGGAATTAATATAGAGAGGAGCAAGATGGGACCAAATAAGGGGAAACGTACTCAATCCAAATTAATGTTGAATAATTTGTGGGGGAGATTTTCTTTAAGGAATTTTGGGCTATCACAATGTGCTATCACAGACAACCCAGCAGAGCTACACAAATACTACAACGACAGATCAATTGAAATCACTGGCTTGGATGAGCTCACACCAGATATTTTGCTCATCTCCTACATCAAAAAGAAAGATTGGATTGAGGAACACAATTGCTCCAATGTGGTCATCTCCTTATGGACAACTTCAGCAGCGCGAATTCATTTGCTCCGAGCAATGCAGAAAGTTGTTCGTTCTCCTGGGTGCTCCTTGCTCTACACAGACACAGACTCCCTAATTTTTGCTCATCCGACCAACTTATGTCCTCTTCCTCTGGGACCTCACCTGGGAGAATTCACGGATGAGTATCCATCACATGAGATTTTGGAATATTGCTGTGGAGGAGCGAAACAGTATGGCCTACAACTACAACGTAAGGGACAACAAGGAGCTAAATATGTTCTGAAAGTTAGAGGAATGACCCTGAACTATGATGTGCTCAACAATCAAGGATTGCAATACAACACATTCAAGGAGCAGGTAATTAATTATGCAAGAACAGGAGAAATTAAACCAATCGATATAATTTACCCCAATTTTTTGCGACCATCAATTAAAGATGGTCGTGTCATTTCTCAACCACAACATAAAATGTATAAACCTGTAGTCAGTAAGGGAATTATCCGCCCTTCTGACTTTTCTATTCTCAATTATGGATTCATAAATAATCGCCATCCTCGTATTTCTCCCCCATAATTTATTGTTTTTTGTCAATTTGTCCCAATATTATTAGGAGACGGAAAGTAGTCAGGGGTACTCCTTATCTGCTCTATACCAACCATTGTTATCGATGAATATCAACATGTGCCATTCACATGTTGTGAGGTCGTCCTCTCATTGTTTACGATGATTATCAACATGTACCATTCACATGTTGTGAGGCATACCTCTCATTGAATTCAGTGGTAGCGGACATTCTAACATCCCTGGTCGAGTTAGATGAAGGAGTCGAATGGCGAAGCCGGTCTCCTCCCCTCCCTACATTTTTTTTTCATCTATAATTTTTATTGTTTTTTGTTTGAAATAAATTTTTATAAAAACTTGTGCAAATTTAATTTTTAAAAGTAGTTGATTTTAGGGGTAAAAGTGCATAAATAAGAAACTAATGAGCATAGTTTGGAGTTTGAAATAGGTGATTTTAGGGAGAAAAGTGCACAATTAAGCAAAAGAAATTGCAAAAAAGCATAGTTTAAAGTTTGAAATAGCTCATTTTAGGGGTAAAAGTGCATATTTAGACAAACGAAAATGCAAATTTTAAATTTTATTAAAATCAACAGATTTTTAGGTATACGTGCGTGTTTTTACCATACGCGCGTATTTTTAGAATGTGCATGTTATTTTTATGGTGTGCTCAGATATCGTTTATTGTTAGATATATCTTTGGAGAGTTTATTCATCCATTTTCCTACCAATTGATCCTTTTCTTTTACAAATTCAAACAATTCGAGAATATGAAGACGGTCCTCTCCTCCAAATTTGATGAGCTTGATAATGATTGTAAGTAGGGATACGTGAATGAATTTGATACTCCCACTACCTACTCCTCACTACATTATCTTTGTTGTATGGACGAGAGCATGCAAGAATTGTGCAGTAAAATATACCTAGAGAGAGAATTCATATCGGCAAGGAGATATTCCTTTCTATTCCTCTTCTCCTTCTTTCCTAATCTACTATCATTCTACCTCTCCACTTTTATATTTCTACTCCATCTTTTCTATTTTTCTAATCTTCTTCTCCTATCCTCCTACTCTCTTCTCCTTTCTCTCTTCTCCCACTACTCTCATAGTAGGCTATTATTCCTCTCCTTTTCTATTACTACACTTCTCTTCTCTCTTATCCTACTCTCATTTCCTCCTACTGCTATTCTTTCCTTTGCTCCTATTGCTCTTTTTCTTCTTGCTTGTCCTAAATCTCTCATTTGCTCCTAATGCTCATCTATCCTTTTCTCCTACTACTCCTATTCTTTTCCTCACCTATCCTCTTAAATCTCTCATTTCCTCCTAATTCTCTCCTCTACTACTCTCCTCTTCTCCTCACCTTTCCTCCTACTCTCTTCACCTCTCCTTTCTTCCTAATACTACTCTTATCATACTCCCCTCCTTTTTTTTTACTCCACTTCCTCACTCTCTCTTCCTCCTCCTCTTCTCCTCTCTATCATCTTACATCTCTCATTTCCAACTTCTCCCCTTCTACTATCCTTTCCTTTTATATTTTTTCTCCTCCCCATAGCCACGTCAAATCCCTTGGCAGAACTACAGTAAGCAATCGGTTCATAGGAAAGTTTAAAAGATTTTTTGTACTGTTCAGGCTAACGAATGGGATTAGTTAAATTTAATTTTTTAATTTATCTTTTCTTCTCCTTTCCTCCTACTCTTCTCCTCTCATTTCCTTTTATTCCTCTCATTTTCTCCTACTCCTCCCTTATTACTACTTCTCTCTTATCCTTTCCCCTGCTCCCCTCCTTTCCTCCTCTCCATTTTTCCCCTTCATACACGCGTCAAATCCTTTGGCAAAACTGCAATACAATTGATTAAAGAAAATTTGAAAAGATTTTTTAAACGTTTTGGTTAACGATTGAGAGAAGTGAAATTTAATTTAAATTTTTTTATTTATTTTTAAATAAACTAGTGGAAGAATAAAGGGTCGCAAACGAGTTGGGCTAGGACCATAGTAGCTGATTTGGTAATTATAACATCCATGGAGTATCCTCCCTATAACTCAAAAATTTTTTAATATAATTCTTATTGTTTTTAGATTGAAATAAATTTCTTATAAAAAAATTTGTGCAATTTTAACATTTAAAAGTAGTAGTTTTTAGGCAGAAAAGTGCACAATTAAGAATTAGGAAAAGCAATGAGCATAATTAACGTTTAGAAGTAGTAGATTTTAGGGAGAAAAGTGCACAATTAAGCATTAGAAATTGCAAAATGCATAGTTTACAGTTTGAAATAGGTGATTTTAGGGGGAAAAGTGCATATTTTGACAAAATAAATGTAGATTTTAAAATTTTGTTAAATCAATGAATTTTGAGGCTGTGCGCATGTTTCGGGCATGCGTGTGTGTTTTTCGGGTGTGCATTTGTTTTACTCGTAAATACAAAATTTTTATTAATAACTAAATTAATTACAATTAATTACGAATATCAAAATTATTACGAGTAAAATTATTACGAGTAATATCAAAATTATTACGAGTGTATTACGATTACGAGTGTATTACGCTCATAAGTTGACGGAAATAATTGCATTGTTTTACTCGTAATACATTCGTAATCGTAATACACTCGTAATAATTTTGATATTACTCGTAATAATTTTACTCGTAATAATTTTGATATTCGTAATTAATTGTAATTAATTTAGTTATTAATAAAAATTTTGTATTTACGAGTAAAACAAATGCACACCCGAAAAACACACACGCATGCCCGAAACATGCGCACAGCCTCAAAATTCATTGATTTAACAAAATTTTAAAATCTACATTTATTTTGTCAAAATATGCACTTTTCCCCCTAAAATCACCTATTTCAAACTGTAAACTATGCATTTTGCAATTTCTAATGCTTAATTGTGCACTTTTCTCCCTAAAATCTACTACTTCTAAACGTTAATTATGCTCATTGCTTTTCCTAATTCTTAATTGTGCACTTTTCTGCCTAAAAACTACTACTTTTAAATGTTAAAATTGCACAAATTTTTTTATAAGAAATTTATTTCAATCTAAAAACAATAAGAATTATATTAAAAAATTTTTGAGTTATAGGGAGGATACTCCATGGATGTTATAATTACCAAATCAGCTACTATGGTCCTAGCCCAACTCGTTTGCGACCCTTTATTCTTCCACTAGTTTATTTAAAAATAAATAAAAAAATTTAAATTAAATTTCACTTCTCTCAATCGTTAACCAAAACGTTTAAAAAATCTTTTCAAATTTTCTTTAATCAATTGTATTGCAGTTTTGCCAAAGGATTTGACGCGTGTATGAAGGGGAAAAATGGAGAGGAGGAAAGGAGGGGAGCAGGGGAAAGGATAAGAGAGAAGTAGTAATAAGGGAGGAGTAGGAGAAAATGAGAGGAATAAAAGGAAATGAGAGGAGAAGAGTAGGAGGAAAGGAGAAGAAAAGATAAATTAAAAAATTAAATTTAACTAATCCCATTCGTTAGCCTGAACAGTACAAAAAATCTTTTAAACTTTCCTATGAACCGATTGCTTACTGTAGTTCTGCCAAGGGATTTGACGTGGCTATGGGGAGGAGAAAAAATATAAAAGGAAAGGATAGTAGAAGGGGAGAAGTTGGAAATGAGAGATGTAAGATGATAGAGAGGAGAAGAGGAGGAGGAAGAGAGAGTGAGGAAGTGGAGTAAAAAAAAAGGAGGGGAGTATGATAAGAGTAGTATTAGGAAGAAAGGAGAGGTGAAGAGAGTAGGAGGAAAGGTGAGGAGAAGAGGAGAGTAGTAGAGGAGAGAATTAGGAGGAAATGAGAGATTTAAGAGGATAGGTGAGGAAAAGAATAGGAGTAGTAGGAGAAAAGGATAGATGAGCATTAGGAGCAAATGAGAGATTTAGGACAAGCAAGAAGAAAAAGAGCAATAGGAGCAAAGGAAAGAATAGCAGTAGGAGGAAATGAGAGTAGGATAAGAGAGAAGAGAAGTGTAGTAATAGAAAAGGAGAGGAATAATAGCCTACTATGAGAGTAGTGGGAGAAGAGAGAAAGGAGAAGAGAGTAGGAGGATAGGAGAAGAAGATTAGAAAAATAGAAAAGATGGAGTAGAAATATAAAAGTGGAGAGGTAGAATGATAGTAGATTAGGAAAGAAGGAGAAGAGGAATAGAAAGGAATATCTCCTTGCCGATATGAATTCTCTCTCTAGGTATATTTTACTGCACAATTCTTGCATGCTCTCGTCCATACAACAAAGATAATGTAGTGAGGAGTAGGTAGTGGGAGTATCAAATTCATTCACGTATCCCTACTTACAATCATTATCAAGCTCATCAAATTTGGAGGAGAGGACCGTCTTCATATTCTCGAATTGTTTGAATTTGTAAAAGAAAAGGATCAATTGGTAGGAAAATGGATGAATAAACTCTCCAAAGATATATCTAACAATAAACGATATCTGAGCACACCATAAAAATAACATGCACATTCTAAAAATACGCGCGTATGGTAAAAACACGCACGTATACCTAAAAATCTGTTGATTTTAATAAAATTTAAAATTTGCATTTTCGTTTGTCTAAATATGCACTTTTACCCCTAAAATGAGCTATTTCAAACTTTAAACTATGCTTTTTTGCAATTTCTTTTGCTTAATTGTGCACTTTTCTCCCTAAAATCACCTATTTCAAACTCCAAACTATGCTCATTAGTTTCTTATTTATGCACTTTTACCCCTAAAATCAACTACTTTTAAAAATTAAATTTGCACAAGTTTTTATAAAAATTTATTTCAAACAAAAAACAATAAAAATTATAGATGAAAAAAAAATGTAGGGAGGGGAGGAGACCGGCTTCGCCATTCGACTCCTTCATCTAACTCGACCAGGGATGTTAGAATGTCCGCTACCACTGAATTCAATGAGAGGTATGCCTCACAACATGTGAATGGTACATGTTGATAATCATCGTAAACAATGAGAGGACGACCTCACAACATGTGAATGGCACATGTTGATATTCATCGATAACAATGGTTGGTATAGAGCAGATAAGGAGTACCCCTGACTACTTTCCGTCTCCTAATAATATTGGGACAAATTGACAAAAAACAATAAATTATGGGGGAGAAATACGAGGATGGCGATTATTTATGAATCCATAATTGAGAATAGAAAAGTCAGAAGGGCGGATAATTCCCTTACTGACTACAGGTTTATACATTTTATGTTGTGGTTGAGAAATGACACGACCATCTTTAATTGATGGTCGCAAAAAATTGGGGTAAATTATATCGATTGGTTTAATTTCTCCTGTTCTTGCATAATTAATTACCTGCTCCTTGAATGTGTTGTATTGCAATCCTTGATTGTTGAGCACATCATAGTTCAGGGTCATTCCTCTAACTTTCAGAACATATTTAGCTCCTTGTTGTCCCTTACGTTGTAGTTGTAGGCCATACTGTTTCGCTCCTCCACAGCAATATTCCAAAATCTCATGTGATGGATACTCATCCGTGAATTCTCCCAGGTGAGGTCCCAGAGGAAGAGGACATAAGTTGGTCGGATGAGCAAAAATTAGGGAGTCTGTGTCTGTGTAGAGCAAGGAGCACCCAGGAGAACGAACAACTTTCTGCATTGCTCGGAGCAAATGAATTCGCGCTGCTGAAGTTGTCCATAAGGAGATGACCACATTGGAGCAATTGTGTTCCTCAATCCAATCTTTCTTTTTGATGTAGGAGATGAGCAAAATATCTGGTGTGAGCTCATCCAAGCCAGTGATTTCAATTGATCTGTCGTTGTAGTATTTGTGTAGCTCTGCTGGGTTGTCTGTGATAGCACATTGTGATAGCCCAAAATTCCTTAAAGAAAATCTCCCCCACAAATTATTCAACATTAATTTGGATTGAGTACGTTTCCCCTTATTTGGTCCCATCTTGCTCCTCTCTATATTAATTCCAAACTTCTCTTTGCACTCATTGATGAACCTCTCCTCCTCCTCATAATTCCCCTTCATAGAGCTATCAAATCCCGAAGAGTGAATTTTTGTTGCCATAAATTCACTAATGTATGGAGCAAACAATTTGTCGTCGGAGCTGTCATATTGTAAAACTCTGAACACCTTGGTGACGATGTAGCCTTCCTCTAGAGCCGCGTTTAATTCAAGCGATGTGCATGTACTCACCCATCCACGTTGCAGGTCTGAGTGCGGGCAGGAGTAATTTTCATTTACTCCTCCTTCAGGGTGCTCCCTAGCACATTGGGAGCAGAGAGGAAAGAGCAACCTCTCATCATCTTCTCCTACTTTCATTGGGAGCACAGGAATATCAATGCTCCTCGGAGGGATAACAAAGACTTTCAGAATAGCCAATCCAAAATTGTTATCCTCCGGCTTGCTCCAATGAACATCTTCGTTGAGAATATGGACCTTTGGGTGCCCCACTGGATATTTTGTAGATACATTGATAAATGGGTACAAGGAGGTGACGTCATAATAAGATATTTTCTCTCCATCTTTTGGTTTGTAGAAAAGTTGAAGCGGGCCAGTACGTCCTCCAAAGAAGCATGCACGTAGATCAATTGGACCATCATCCAAATACTTTTTGAAGGAGCTCCTCATCTCCCTGTCTTTTTCCAGCATACTCCTAATTTCACACTCCCAAAAGACTTGCACTTTTACTCCTTGACTTTTGATGTATTCCATCCTCTTTGCATCTTTTTCCCGTTGTTTACCGGCTGAAATTCCATTAGGGAGAATAGTGTTGTCTTCCGGGTAGCATCTCTCACACCCATGCCACACACAACCATTAATCTCTATCCCTAATTGCTCCTCCTCAATCCATCCGTCCAACTTGAAGTTGCCAACCTTCTTCTCCCCTCCATCTGAATGAGCAGTTTGAATTTTTACTCCATGCTCCTTCTCATACCATTTCATAAATTTCAGAGCAAGTTTGCTCTGATTATCTACATTATCGTAGCCTTTCTCGGGAACCAAAGCCAAGTGATTTTCCTTCAGATGGTTAGTTCTAAAATGGTTCATACATGCGGATGCAATGGTCATTGACTCCTTGAGTACGTCAATACCATTGTGGGCCTTAGTTGATGCAGCTCTTTCACCTGCTGCTCGTTTTGTCACATCCATAAATTCTCGTCTAAAAGCAATAAGAGCTGCTAGGAGTATTTCCACATCATTGGTGCAATATGCTGCCAACTCCTCATCCAAGTAAAATGGGAGCTCCTTGTTCCTCTGATACCATCGGTCAAATTCTTTTCTCTTCTCTGGCATCATCCCATCTGCGAAGTAGTCGGAGGGGACGGGAAACACATTTTTTCCATAATTCTTAGGCTGGTTGATGAGGTGGGGAAAGAAAGGCTTATCCTCAACCTCGAGAGCAAAGGCTGGGACAAGAGATGCCAAAGACATTGGCATCAGATTGAAACTGTCCCTGAAGATCAACATACTCTTCTTTCCAATTTTCACTTTCATCTCATACATTTTATTTCCTCTCTTCAGCATTTCAGGAGTAAAACCCATAAGAAAGAGCTCCCTGAAAACTATTACCATATCAAACCTCCCTCCAAAATGTGAAAAGGCGATGGTGTCGTAGTCTGTTGTTAATTCAATTATCCATTTGACAAAGGAGATGATTGGATCCTCGGTGACTTTCTGTAGATCCACGCGTGTTCTGTAAAATGGTCGCTCTGAGAAAGTTACAAGTTTATTACTCCCACATACTTTGCATTCATTTTGCTCCTCCTCAATACATTTGGGGCATGTTACTCTCGCTGCTATGAAGTTTGCCTGATGGTTTCTCTTGTTGTTTCCATCTGAGACATGTTGCATTGTCTCCAGATCAAAAGCTACAAATCGATAGGGTTTTTGCTCCTTGGGCTCCAAAGGCTTAATAAAGCATCCGCGCTTTGGGTCGTGGTATCCGGAGCAAGTTGAACAATAGCGCTCTTTGCAAATGTGGCCGCTCCTGCCTCCTCTGGTGTTATCTTTTGTATCCCATATCACTCCACACTTCTCACAACGTTTGGAATGTTGACAAAATCGTGAACTCAGATGATGGTCGAAGCAATTTTCGTTGTTAAAGCTCTTGGAGCACCCATTACATTTTTTGAAGAAATTGTTCCTAGGAGGGCATGGATATAAAGGGCCAACACGGGAGCAATTGAGACAGTGTGCCCGACATGTTGTAGAATGATGTTGAGGACGTTCATACACCGTTTCACACTCCAAACAGTACGGTTGCCCAAAGAGACCTCCGGTGCAAGTAACTCCATTGAAATGTGAGCCGTCGAAATAAAGGAGCAATGGGGAGTTATAATTATCGGGACCATATTTGAAACACGGCTTGTAGTGTCCCAAACAATCAAAAATGAAAACTTTAAAACAAAACTGGCCTGTGTACATTTCATTCCAAAAGTCGACCACGGGAGGAACCCATTCCTCAGCATTGTACTCCTTCTGACCACGAGGAGCTCCAACTTGATCCATCAGCTCCAAAGTCTCCCTTTCGAATTGTCCATAGGATGCATACCTCCCGTGGATATAGTTGTAAAATTGGGAGCGCGACATTTTGCCAATAAGCCGCACAAGTGTTGCTAATAAAGAATAGAATAAACAATAACCATCGTTGTTGTTATTGATTTTGATCAGGTTTTGTTGTTTGATCTGATGGTGAACATGAGCAAGTTTTCGAGGAGCTCCGCCAATAATGTTGCTCCCATTATCCAAATTTTTCTTGTCGATAACTATTACATTAACTGAAAAAGGTTTTCCGCACAGGGTAACACCCGCCTGCTTTTTACTCTGGGAAACTTTATTAAATTGATTAAGCAGGGTATTGAAGGTATTTTGTGTTGTGGGCCTAAGTGGTATCCAGATATCAGAATCTAATAACTCACTTGTTACTGTGCAACTCAGCTCCTCAGGTTCGAGTCCATTGTTCTTCGCGTTGTTCACAGCCTGGTTGAAGCAGTGTTGGAATATTCCTGATAATAAGGCCTCAGGGTCGGCCGGAATATTCTGAATAAGGAATTTCGAATAATTTTTGGTGATTTTGAATTTATTTATGTATTTTGTTGTATTTTCTAGTTGCTCAATATATTGATGTAGAGCAGCTTCTCCTCCTGATTGATTAACAGAGAGGAGGTTATCAATAAAGAACGCTCTTGCGCGTTTTGTTGGAGGAATATAGTCCATTGTTGAATAAAGAATCTATGAAAAAAGAGCTCCTATGAAAAA